AGCAGTAAACATTAAACATTGCTTAACAGGATGTACAGCAATACGCAAATAGCCTTAAAAATTGAAATTAATTAAAGGATTAAAATATTGCAAAAAATATTATTTTCTAGTTTACATATATATATAAAAACCACCGCCCAGCCCCGTGCAGAGACTGTCAAAGTGGCATGTGCAGGATAAAATTTTTTGAAGAGGCGGGGGTTTGGGGGGGCTTTGGGGGTTGGGCGGTGGTGGCGATGTCGCAGGTACAAGGGGGGTGGGGGGGTGGGGGGGTGATAGGGTTGTGTCACTGGGGCACTTCAGATCACTTTCAAAGGGCACTTTCTATCCAAGGTTGGCCCTATGCATGCACGTGCCTGCCACCGCCTCCATGCCTTCTTCATCTCGGAGGGCTTTTTTTCAGTTTATTCATGACAATTTGCTTTTGTATAATGTTATCATTATTAGCAGTATTATTTATTACATGCATATTTATATTTGTTTTATTAAAAACAAGCTTAGATTTGCCCACCTGTCAGGTTTTAGACCAGATGGGGCACAGCATGTGTATTAGGATATAACTCAGTTTTTTCCATTATTGTTGTTCATTTATTTGTTTGCTGGAAATTAGAACTGAATTCAGAAATAGTTTTGAAACAAATCTTTGTGCTTAACAAACAAAATTAATAATGTAGGCTAATGGATGTCTGTGCGTTCAACATGTTTCCCTAACCACGAGAGTGAAAGAGAAAGTAAAGAATGAGGAGGCTCATCTCTTATTCTGGCAGTGTAGATGCTCTGTTTAACCGTTTTCTCTCTAGTGAAGCGCTCAGTTTTTCCACTTACAAAATCTGTCATGTAAATAGCAAATGCACCATGGTGCGACTCAACTGACTCTTAAAGAGAATGGGAGATGATACTCTGATTGGTTTATTCTCAAAACACACCTATAACTCATTAAGAGAATAAGCTCAACCCTGTTAGACCATGCGCCAGGACGCAAAGTGGATTTTTCCATCCTTAAAATACCAACAGTGGATTCAGACACGCCCTTAATGCTTTTGCGCCCTGCGCTTTGGACTTTGTGCATGAGTCGTCAAAATAGACAGTCTCTCTGGTGCGGTATAAGTGAATTAAAAAAGCCAAATTGCCCGTAGTGTATGTGTGTGTGTGAATGAGAGTGTGTGAGTGTTTCCCAGTGATGGGTTGCAGCTGGAAGGGCATCCGCTGCGTAAATCATATGCTGGAAAAGTTGGCGGTTCATTCCGCTGTGACGACTTCTGATTTATAAAGGGACTAAGCTGAAAAGAAAACGAATGAACTTTGATCTTTGCTTCATCCACTTTAGAAAAGTTTAACAAATAGTCTGTAATTGATATATTTTTAAAATATATTTGAAAGAGTAAAAAGCAGAAAACATCTGTGGATTGCAAAGTACAGTAAACTACTATTAACATTTTCAACCCAGGGTTATTCAGATTACGTACCACTATAGAGATTCCTAGACAGTGCAATATACGTCCAAGAAGCTACGTTTCTGTTTTCGACAATCCGCCAGAAGCTGCTGTGTAAGCTTTTTGACATCGCAAATATCTCTTGCGAGTGCCATTCACACCTGCTCTTCTCACATAAATCCACCAGAGGCCGCTGTCCACTAACTGATCGACTGACCAATCGACTGACCCACCCTCCTCCTTTCATAAACCCAACTGATATTGTTTTTTAATCACCAATTGACCAGCGATTAGCTATAAGCATGAAAGGAAACGGCATAATATCGGCCTGTAGTGTTAATTAAAAAAAAATGCAGCCATACATTCCTCTGGCTACATTATTTGTGATTTCCAGAAATGTATATAGGGCTACGTTTTCAGAATGAGCCTATGTTGAACAGTTTAGTTTCGAGTCTGTATCACAGATTGATTTAAAGCTTTCCCCATAGGCATACAAGTGTGCAAAAAGACAGCGAGGCTTAAGTAAATTGTTATGTTGTCACCGTGTTAAGAAGACGCTGTGTACTTAGGGAGAGAAAATTAAAAAATATGACTGTGGGCAATATGCTCAGGTCCTGATTACAAAGTTAGTTTACCAAGCATTAGCTTAACAAGCTTCATCTGTATTACCAGAATCTGACCGGGGCTCAAATTGATATAATAAAACCAAAGCTATTACTGTTATTGGTTTGTTTAGAATATTCTTACAAAACTTGTAAGCTGAAACTTTTGATTTCTTGTCGGCTTAGTCCCTTTATTAATGCAGGGTCGCCACAGCAGAATGAACCGCCAACTTATCCAGCACATTTTTACGCAGCGGATGCCCTTTCAGCCACAATCCATCTCTAGGAAACATCCACACACACACTCATACACTACGGACAATTTAGCCTACCCAATTCACCTGTACCGCATGTCTTTGGACTGTGACATGCAAACTCCACACAGAAACGCCAACAGAGCCGAGGATTGAACCAGCGACCCAGTGACCTTCTTGCTGTTAGGCGACAGCACTACCTACTGCGCCACTGTGTCTCCCTTTTGATTATTAATAGGATTAAAATTCTTTAAAAGTAAGGTACTGGTGGCAAGAGTTATTTTTCCAGGATCTGAGTTATTAACTCTGCACCTCACGCCTGGATAAACAGAGCTCAGCTCTTCTATGCTGCCAAAGAGAGACAGAGATAATCAGATGGAAAAAGCCAGGAGCGTCAGCAAAGGCAAAAGGTTTAATGCCAAACAGACGTTTGCATTCTGCTGCCAATTGGTGATGTGAGCAGAATTAATTCATCAATTTTGTAGCTACAAGGCTAAAAAGGTATTATAGAAGAGTTGTGTCAAAAATATTGCAAAAATATTGAGTGCGTATTCAAGTGTGTTTATTTAAGGTACAGAAGCACAATACACCCTTATCACAAGCCTGTTATGACACGGTCATCATAATCTTAAATCCATAAAAATTTTTCATATTTTGATTTTTAAAAAAGCCTGAACATTTATTTGCATTTATGAATGCATTAAATCATCTTTGCATCACATTACAAAAAAACTAATTACCGCTTATATGCAAGGTGTTTCTAATGCAGCGTCTATGGGGCTGAGAGACGTTATTCTCTCCTCTGGCTATCGTGATCAATCTCACTTTTTTTTCCCTCTTCTGAAAGTCTTAATAACACCAGCGAGGAGTTTTTCTTTTATTATTTCAGCAAATAGAATTGTAAAAAAACGTATCTGTTGTACTCTCCCATTCACTGCGCTCTGAGTTTCCCAATCATGACAACTATCGCCACTGAGAAACCCAGAAATGCGAAAAGGGTCTATACGTAAATAAGAAGCTATGTGAGTTTTGCCCCAGTAATATGCAGAAATATCAGTTTACAGGAACTAAATGCCATATACTAGTCTCTACAGCGGACACACACACACACAGACACACACATGCGAGCACATGGCTCACTTTATAGAGATGTAATGGTTTTCATAGTGTGCACTACAAACTGTATTTACTATTCCACTACCTCAACCCTAACCCTAATCCCTAGACTCACAGTAAACAATCAGCCATTTTTACGTTTTCTAAATATTTAATTTATGTAATGGGGATATAAAAATGTCAAAATTTAGAATTTTTATTAGAATATTTGTGGGAGCATTTGGTCCCCACGATGTAATAAATACAAGGTACACACACTGTGGTTCATTGAGGGATTAATTACACACTGTTAACAACAAATGCAAAAACTATATTCACCACATATAAAACATAAGTGTCCAGACAGAGTAACCATTGGATTATAGATCACCTCCCTGACTAAGGCCATTCTCCCCTGATCACTCAGCTTAGATGGCCGGCCAGCTCTAGGAAGAGTCCTGGTGGTTCCAAACATCTTCCACTAACGGATGATGGAGGCCACTGTGCTCATTGGAACTTTAAGAGCAGCAGAAATTTTTCTGTAACCTTCCCCAGCCTTGTGCCTGGAGTCAATCCTGTCTTGGAGGTCTACAGACAATTCCTTTGTCTTCATGCTTGGTTTGTGCTTTGACATGCACTGTCAACCCTGTTCCCTTATATAGACAGGTGTATGCCTTTTCAAATCATGTCCAATCAACTGAATTGAAAACAGGTGATCGCCAATTAAGCTGCTGAAACATCTCAAGAATGATCAGTGGAAACAGATAGTACCTGAGCTCAAAAGTCTGTCAATACTGATGTACATGTGACTTTTCACGTTTTTTAGTTTTATTAAATTTGCAACTTAAATAAATCTTTTTTCACATTGTCATTATAGGGTATTGTGTGTAGAAGTTTGAGGAAATAAATTAATTTAAT